ACGATTAGAATTTAGGAATAAGATTTTGTAGGTATAAATAGCACAAGAGAATACATGGATTGTATATTTAGCAAGTTTACAGATCTGAATTGAGGGGCTGTATGTGGTTTCTAAAGGCCGAATTTGTTATAATTCTTACAATTGATTTTTGCTGGGTGATGATGGGCTTCAGGTAGTTTTGTAACGTACGATTATGTGACATTGTTGGGTAGATTAGATACACAGTGTTTAGTGGGTTTCAAATTTATTTAGTAGTCTTGATTATAGCACTCGGTTGTTGGCAGTGTCGTAGACGTTGAGACAGAGCTTGGAGCAGAGCAGAGAGCTGAGTGAGGCCGGAGTCGCGGAGCTTGAAGTGGGCGAGCGTGGCGGCTCAATGGGGAATCGTGAGTGTCTAATCTCGATGGGGTGGTGGGTGTCTAAACTCGATGCGGTCGTAGAGTGCTGTCTGCTCTATCTTGGAGTATCTTGGGGTCGATTAGAACTGCATACACCGAGTGCTACATTCTTGACGTTGAAGAAGTGTGGTAACTCTGAAGCATCTGTACTCAAGTTAACTAAATCACTGTGGAAATCATACTGATCATTAATCGCTTCTGGACTGCTTATATGATTGGAATACACCTCATCTCATCATCCTCTAATAGGTTGAAAGGATGGAAAAAATGTTACCTGTAATTAAATAACACTAATCCCACACATAATCAAACACATTGAGGGCCTATCACTAAAATACCTAAGTGAGTGCAGGGTCCCTATATCATATGCTAACAAATGCAATACGATCTTGAATCCATTTGCCAGAGTGCAATCTTGGACCCAGAGTCGTAATGTCTGAAAATAGAGTTTGTTATATTTCTGTTATAGTTCAGATTTTTGCTGAGTGATGATGGGTTTGAGGTAATTTGATGTGGTTGAATCCCATGCACAGATACCATATGGAAGATAGGGATGGATTAACACGTAGTATAGTGAGAGGAAAGCAGAGTGAGGAACATATCTGATTTTAGAGAGTATACCGACCATTTTTTAACCTTTTTTGCTATGTGTTGTATGTGAGTGCTGAAGTTCGTTATCTCTTCTATGTATAGACCAAGGAACTTTCCCTCATTTTTATTACTTATGTCCATCTGAAGTTGAATCCATCTCCATTGTCCATCTGGAGTTGAATTTTATTTGATGATTTACTACCAAATGAAATGTAGTAGGTCTTTTCAATGTTTAGTGTTAATTTGTTGGTTGACATCTATTAGTGGTCTTTTTATAATTAATTATTTGCAGTATTATTTAGAGTGGGCGTTGGGGTCAGAATAGATGAAGGTAGTATCGTCAGCAAATAGTATAGGTTTAACAATGACAGAAACATCTGGCAAGTCATTGATGTATACAAGAAATAGGAGAGGTCCCAAGATGCTGCCCTGTGGCACCCCAACTGTCAGGGGTAGAGTGGGGGAGGTTATGCTACTGATGACTACATATTGGTGTCTGTCACTGAGATAGGAACGAATATCGTTCAGAGCAAAGCCTCGGATACCATAGTGGTGAAGTATAAGTAAGAAGTAGATATGGATTACAGTATCAAACGCCTTTCTCAGGTCAACGAAGAGGCCAGTTGGGATTTCATTTTTGTCAAGGGCTCTGTAGAGTATATTATGCAGACTAATAACGAAAGCTAAACTGGCAGGGATTTAATGTGTTGAGTTTTACAACGTAGGAATAGAGCTGTTTGTAAATGTTTTGTTCAAATACTTTTTTTTAACCTTTTTTGGCGTCACTCTTGCTTTTTTAAGAATATCAGGAAAAGTATGACACTCAAGAGATTTGTTGAAAGCAGAACTATGGGGTAGTGCAAGAGCAGAGACAGCACTCTTATATACTATATATGGTATTTCATTTATGTTTCCAGCCTTGGATTTAAGTGATTGAATTAGGGATAGAATGTCTGCCAAGCTGACTGGTAAAAGGAGTAGAGGGTTAGGATAGCTGCCAGTGAGATATGGAGTAACATGTAGTAACGTGTGTACATATATATATATATATATATATATATATATATATATATATATATATATATATATATATATATATATATATATATATATATATATATATATATATATATATATGACCGAAAGGGTAAGATTAATGATTCTAACACGAATCTTCTCAATATTTCTTACGTTTTTCTTCAGTGTCGAGGGTAATTGAAATATTAACTCTCCAAAGTTCATTTTCTCATTTTTAATTTATGGCCTGACGCCTAAAAGTATTTCGCAAGGGCTTCTTACATTTTCTTAGACAGATTTACACATATCATATATCATACTTATATTCGTTTTGGGTGAGATGATATGACACAAATGTTTTTGGGTGAGGTGACAGAACACGAATCAATGGGTATAAATTGGATATGAAAACATAAGAATGAAAGTAACTACAGAAGGCCTATTGGCCCATATTTTCTCTTGCTGCTTCTATGTAAGTTTGGCGTCTTGAAGTGGGTAGAATATAGTTATATGTTAATTGGCTGTTGATTGCTGGTGTTTACTTTTTGATGTGTAGGGCCTCGCTGATGTCGAGTCTCCTGCTATCGTTGTATCTATCGATGATTTCTGAGTTACTTGTTTAGATTTCTCTGGTGATGGTCTGGTTGTGAGAAGAGATTATATGTTCCTTGATGGAGTCCTGTTGTTTGTACATTGCTAATCGCCTAGAAAGAGACGTATTTGTATTTATACCAGGACATATTGTATTTATACCATTAGGGGTCAGGTGTAGACAAATGGATCGAACAATGGGTTATAAAAGGGTATACAAATGGATTAAGAATAAGGCATAAAGGAGAAAAGAATAAAATAAGGCGAAATAGGGTATGAAATACAAACAAATATTAATCAGGTGTAGTGGATGTGGCAAGTTGAGCAGTGTCTTTTTTTTTTTTAGATATATACAAGAGTTGTTACATTCTTGTACAGTCACTAGTACGCGTAGCGTTTCGGGCAAGTCCCTGGAATACGATCCCCGCCGCGAAGAATCGTTGTTACAACCAAGTACCCATTTTAGTGTTGAGTTAAACAGAGGCTACAGTTAAGGAATTGCGCCCAGTAAATCCTCCCCGGCCAGGATACGAACCCATGACAAAGCACTCGCGGAACGCCAGGCGAGTGTCTTACCACTACACCACGGAGACTGGAGTCTTCTATTTTGGCATCTTCACGTTCTAGTCTTGTTCTTACTCTCATGGTGGGTAGAGTAAATAGTTCCGTAATTTGGGTATTTATGGTGGGTTGTTCTATTTTTATGTGGATTGGTTCATGAATTTGTAATCATCTTACATCTTGGGTTTTGTCTATTATACAATCCTTTATTGGATATGTTCACCGCTTCTCGATGAACATATACAATAATAGATTAATTAGTTTATGTTTGAATTTTATTTATAACTAAGGTATACTTGCGTGTTTTGCTGGTTAGTCAATAAACTATTGTGATTAACATTAATAACCCTTCTGCAGATGATTGACCTAAGGCCTAACACCAAATCTTGTTCCCTTTGCTTTTCATACACTTACGACTGTTTTTGTCTAAGTTTATTAAATGCATTTTATATTTGTTTACACATGCTAATGACTATTTAAACAATTCTTCAGAAAATATCCATGATATGGTGAGGCTGGCCAAACTGATCAAAGATAATCAAAGGTGGACTGAAATTTATGGTCTGAAATCTTTTCACCTAAAGCGGATGGCAATCAAGAATGCTTCATCACTGAAGACCATGACCACTTGTGAGTAGGACTAGTAGGAATGCATGATATTATTAGCCATATTAAGTCCCAACCAACCTTAAACCTTAACCCTAATAAACTGCACAAAGCAAATATATATATATATATATATATATAAATATATATATATATATATATATATATATATATATATATATATATATATATATATATATATATATATATATATATATATATATATATGTCGTACCTAGTAGCCAGAACGCACTTCTCAGGCTACTATTCAAGGCCCGATTTGCCTAATAAGCCAAGTTTTCCTGAATTAATATATTTTCTCTAATTTTTTTCTTATGAAATGATAAAGCTACCCATTTCATTATGTATGAGGTCAATTTTTTTATTAGAGTTAAAATTAACGTAGATATATGACCGAACATAACCAACCCTACCTAACCTATCTTTATAGGTTAGGTTAGGTTAGGTAGCGGTAAAAGTTAGGTTAGGTTAGGTTAGGTAGGTTAGGTTGCCGAAAAACAATTAATTCATGAAAACTTGGCTTATTAGGCAAATCGGCTCTTGAATAGTAGGCTGAGAAGTGCGTTCTGGCTACTAGGTACGACATATATATATATATATATATATATATATATATATATATATATATATATATATATATATATATATATATATATATATATATATATATATGTTGTACCTAGTAGCCAGAACGTTGTACTCGGCCTACTATGCAAGGCCCGATTTGCCTAATGAGCCAAGTTTTCCTGAATTTATATATTTTTCAATATTTTGTTCTTTTGAAATGATAAAGCTATCCATTTCATTATGTATGAGTTAATTTTTTTTAAATTTGAGTTAAAACTAACGTGGATATTTGACCGAACCTAACCAACCCTACCTAACCTAACCTAACCTATCCTAACCTAAACACAATTAAGTCAATAATTTATGTTCTTAATATAATATAATAATAATAATTCAGATAAACTAATTGGAAACAATTCATTGAAAATAAAGAAAATCACTCGGCCTATTAGGCAAATCAGGCCTTGCATAGTAGGCCGAGAAGTGCGTTCTGGCTACTAGGTACGACATATGTATATATATATATATATATATGTCGTACCTAGTAGCCAGAACTCACTTGTCAGCCTACTATGCAAGGCCCGATTTGCCTAATAAGCCAAGTTTTCATGAATTAATGTTTTGTCGTCTACCTAACCTACCTAACCTAACCTAACCTAGCTTTTTTTGGCTACCTAACCTAACCTTACCTATATATATAGGTTAGGTTAGGTTAGGTAGGGTTGGTTAGGTTCGGTCATATATCTACGTTAATTTTAACTCCAATAAAAAAAAATTGACCTCATACATAATGAAATGGGTAGCTTTATCATTTCATAAGAAAAAAAATAGAGAAAAAATATTAATTCAGGAAAACTTGGCTTATTAGGCAAATCGGGCCTTGCATAGTAGGCTCAGAAGTGCGTTCTGGCTATTAGGTACGACATATATATATATATATATATATATATATATATATATATATATATGTCGTACCTAATAGCCAGAACGCACTTCTCAGCCTACTATTCAAGGCCCGATTTGCCTAATAAGCCAAGTTTTCATGAATTAATGTTTTTTCGTCTACCTAACCTACCTAACCTAACCTAACCTAGCTTTTTTTGGCTACCTAACCTAACCTTACCTATAAATATAGGTTAGGTTAGGTTAGGTAGGGTTGGTTAGGTTCGGTCATATATCTACGTTAATTTTAACTCTAATAAAAAAAAATTGACCTCATACATAGAGAAAAGGGTTGCTTTATCATTTCATAAGAAAAAAATTATAGTAAATATATTAATTCAGGAAAACTTGGCTTATTAGGCAAATCGGGCCTTGAATAGTAGGCTGAGAAGTGAGTTCTGGCTACTAGGTACGACATATATATATATATATATATATATATATATATATATATATATATATATATATATATATATATATATATATATATATATATATATATATATATATATATATATATATATATATATATATATATATATATATATATATATATATATATATATATATATATATATATATATATATATATATATATATATATATATACATACATACATATACATACTTATACTCAGTTACACTCAGTGCAAAATACTCAGTTTTTTAAATTTGCTGAAACGCTTTTAAATGTTTTGTGCATAATGCTCCAACTTTGTTAAAATCATCAACAACGTAACTTGAAATACAAGAAAATAACAAATAATTATAAAATTGAATATGGAAAATTTCAGATTTTCAAATGAGCTTCAAAAATATAAAATATCACAAATTGTTCATTTGGTGTTATTATGCTCTCAGAGTATAGCATATGATCTTCATTTTCATCAGCTGAGAATATAGGTTTTCAGTATATTTTACTGTAAAAAAAATCGTCAATATGGCATTTGAAATATGCACCAAATTTAGACAAACAAATGATAATTCCAAATGTTTAGGGTTTATGAAACATCCATTCTATTGGATTCTAAGAACAGACAGTTGTGCACACTATTTGTCAAAATGGTGAGAATCGGTCAGAAACTGGATTTTTTGAAGCGGGTGAAAGTCGAAACTCTAGTTTTAGAAATAATTAAATTTGAAATTATCGACAATGAATAAGGTAGTTCTAATTCATAAATTTATTTGTATGTTTTAATAAACATTGTTTGGTATTCGTACTCGAATATTTGAAAAAATCAGCCAAAAAAAATTCAAAGTCCTGAGTTCTGCGAGTTGTGACCGATTTATTTGTTGACTAATTTCATTTTATCTTCACATAGTTAGGGAAGAGTATGTACTCTCCAGGATGTAGAGGTTACAACAAAATAAGATAATAAACAAAGGAGAAAAAACTAAAACCTAAAAATAAAATCCCCCCCATTTTTTTGTTTACATTGCTGAAAGTAACAGATATAAACATTGAGCAATGTATTTATATGATATATAACAAAGTAGAGCATAATACCATACTTACTCATTATTATTGTTGTTATTTGACTCAGCAATGCAATAAAGGCACCAGCTGCGTATCCACTTTGTGGACACTTCTTACTACTATTCTTCTTTGTGCATCAGACAGGTGCTTGCATCTCTTTATTACTGCATTATCCATCAGTTCCGGTTAATACGAGCTGTTCTCCTTATCAACAAAAAGTTCTTTTATAAAAATTTGTCTAAAATCAATTTTTGGAAATATTTTGATGAAAGTTTCATGACGCTGAAGCCAATAAATTGAAGATTTGTTTAACATTTTTAAGTAATTATTACATAATACGAATATTTTTCACTTTCTGGCCACTTATGTTGAGCAGTTTAAGAGTTAAGAATCATAAACTCTTTATTGTATTTACATCAGACTAAAATGTATATCAGTGTAAGTGCTTTCAGTCAATAAGATTGCCTTCATGTGTAATGTTCTATCTGAAAATATCTGACTTTGTACTTTCATTTTGGTAGATGATGGCCTTATGGCTCTTCTGGGTTACATGAAGGAGGAGCTGACGAAAAAAGGAGGCTTCATTGACTGCTTCGTTATTGAGCACTATATATATCATGGGGATCACAGTGTTCTATTCTCACGCAGCCTGAGTGAAGTACAAAAGTGGCAACCAGAGAAATTGGAAAATTTAGTGTAATGGCAGAAGAATTAAGCTATGAAGTTCTCAGCATACACATATATGTATATCAGGTGTTGATATATATATATAACTGTAGGTGCAGTTCTCAGCGAGTTTCAGACACAGATGAAAGGTCCTGGGCTCAATTTCCATTGCAGGACAGAAACATCTTGGGCAACATTTAATTTTATGCATCTGCTTACCTAGCAGAAAATATAGATACCAGGAAGTTAGACAACTATCGTGGGTTGTAACTACTAAAGTTATAACTAAAAGTTATAACTAAAGTTATAACTACTTTATGCGATTATATATATATATATATATATATAATATGAATAATCAATCGAACCTTTGACTTTAAGGAAAAGAAGGTAGTCATTCAACTGTACAGTATATTCAATTATATACAGAGTTATTCAACTCAGGTGAATATTTTACTTCAACTCTTTGATTATTGCAACTCGTTCTCGATTATTGTATCCAAGCATGGAGACCTCATCTTCAGAAAGACAGCTGCTGTAGAGAACACCGGACAACAAAAATCATTCCCGAACTAAATCAACTCTAATACCAGGAACGGTTGAAGGCCACAGGGCTGGCAACACTGCAGACCAGGTATGACAGGGCGGATCTCATGGAAACTTAAAATACTGAACAATTTGGAGGATGGTTGATACGGACAATTTCTTCAAAGGGTCAGATGTAACACAAACAAGGAGCAACGGTTTCAAGCTAAACAAGCCACAAAGTTTACTATACTATACCATAGGCATATTTACTCTAACTTTGTCAGAGAGTGGATATGTGTGTAGTTTAAATTGCATACTACCAGACTATACATTGCTGTCTACTATACAGTACACCTAACTTCTTGATATGATATATGCAATATGCCAAGTATACAATGAAATATACAGTAAGCTTATGTTATTTATAAATATACAGTTTGCATATACAGTATATTTTAGTTATTTTTTAAACGACTACCAGTTCTTGTTTTGTTTTAATTAGTTTGACATTTTGCTTTCATAGTTATGTTTTAAACATTAAAATATTTTGAATGCAAAAATTATTTTATATTATATACATGTATTTTCTTTATTTAAAGTGAAATGTTTAGCATTCCATTTTTTCAGAGTAGAATAAGTGGATGTGTCCATAATTATAAATAATTCCTATACACATAATGATAAAATGTATATAAAAGTTAATTACAATTAATATAACATAAAAAATTACTCTATACACATCACGTTTATAGATGAATCATAAACTGTATCTAAATTGCTCCATTTATGAGAAAGTTACAGTTACTATAATCAGTTATGTACGTAATTATAAGTTACGTACAGTTACGATATATTTTTATCACAGTAAAGAACTTTACAACTGTTCTTCCTTGTTGCACCATGATCACATTGTAGAGAGTCTCAGGGCTCTCAAGGTTGTGACAGCCTATCATCACAGCTATTGTGCAATTGTCAGAATTGCAAAAATTATATATCTTGCATATATTATATTGACTGATTCTGCTGCACCTTTGGTTCCTCAAGTACCTGAAAATATGCTTGCCGAGCTGAAAAGCTGCAAACCTGAGTACAATCCATGAGGATTGTACTCGGACGCCTCCATGCAATTAAATTACTAAACATAAGGCATGAACTAACTATTCCACATGTAAGTGTTCAAATCACTGAAATCAATGTTTTAATTTATATCAAAATGTTTATGCGAATCCACTCCAACCCCAGCACTGACGCCCTCCAAGCCTTCTTTATCAAAAGTCAGCATCCCTCAAAATGGGCTACAAAAACTGCACCTGAACTTAGAATGTATCGGGTTCATGATCTCTACCAAGAGAGACATCGACGGTACTTCCCAGGATCATGGGTGATGCGCCTCTTTCCAAATTACTCTCCCTTCCCACCCAAGAAGATTAAATCCAATTATTTTGGTATTTTGATAAATACCAAAATAATTGACAAATACTATTATCTGACATCATTTGGATTTGTAAATTTTGCTAAATACCTTAGTTATTTGACCCGCATATCCATTAACAACCTTGGTGTCCTTTGCTATGTAATTTTATCTCTATGTGTATTATTCGATTTCCAATATATATTCTATTTGTCAACAATTAATATACTAACATTTGCTACGCTATTATATATACAATGCGTATTATGCAAGCTACAATCTTGTTAACGCATTTTATGTTAATATACATTTATCTTTAATTAACTCAACCTTTGGTACCCCCTCGCTTTACCGTTATTTACATTATATATTAATTAGATCCATTACTGATAACTTCATTCTAAACCTGTTTCCAGGTATTATAATATCAATTAAATGTTTTATTTGCTCAATTAATTGAGCAAATTAATTATCAATTAATTGTTTTATTAACAGAAAGAGGAGTCGTACTGTTAACATTACAGTGTATTGTATTCTTACTACAATTATGTTAATTACTAATAATTTAATTTTCTTTATCTTCGTTATATTAATAACTTTAAATTTAAATAAATAATTTTCCCATCTCGGCTTTTCTCTCACACTTACAACATTTACCATGAAGAGGAGACTTGCAAGTGGAACAAGCAAGCCACCACTTAAATAAGCCATTGCAGTGGTATAAAGCATTAAGATCAATACCATAATTGTTCAACACATCTCCCTCAGTAGGCGATGTTACAGATAATGATAAGAGTATATATATAGTAGCTTTCTCAAATGTTGGTTCACATGATGTCGGTATCTTGACGTATGTTAAAACTAATTTAGTGTGTAAACATGTTAAAAACCACAAAAGTGACCACTCATATTATCAGCAGTTTCAGATTGCTACAGCGACCGGCTTTATTAACTTATGCATATGTAAGGTGCGATCAAATAGTGGAAGCTTCTCTCCCAAAAATCACCAGCAGCTCTCAAACCATTGTAATGGGTGATTTTAATGCTAGACACACTAGCCTGGGTGACACCAAAACAAACAGGAATGGCAGAGCCTTTGTAAAATACTTAAGAGATAATAACATGTCCGTGTTCAACTTTGACTCCTCTAACGTCACACACCTCAGGGGTGGCAGGCTTGATTATGTCATTGGTCACGGTCTCATTGATAATGCTGTCGGAGGATCAATTGTTCACGAATTAGTTAGTGATCATTTTGCCATATTCAGTTCATACACTATCAATAATGTCAAACCCCTAAGCTTTGCAAAAAAATTAATATCCTTGAAAATTTACACATGCACTTCAAATTCCGCATTTCCGAATGGTACAACACTTACTGCTTTACTACTGTCAATGCATTATATGAGGACCTGGTCACTGAAGTAACCGCTTTTTATGACAATGTTGTAAAATCCACAAGATCCAAAACAGTGAGGAAGGGACAGAGGTGGTTCACTGAATCACGCCTTAAGCCCCTGCATGACAGAGTTCTATTCCCAGCTGAGCAGTATAAAACACATAAAGCAGCTGACACCCTCAACATATTTCTTAAAGCCAGCCGAGAGTTTAGAGAGCTAAAGGAACAGGTGTATAACCAGCACTGGGAACAGTTTCTGCAAGGCATCAATCATGCAGCATCCTCATCCCAAATGTGGAGTAAAATTAAAAAGATTTCTCGTCCTAGCAGTCGTCAACTTGATCACCATTCTATGCCGACTATGCCGACATGCTGCTTCAACAATATGCCTGTGTGTGTATTCACCTAGTAGTACTTGCGGGGGTTGAGCTTTGCTCTTTCGGCCCGCCTCTCAACTGTTTACTAACTACTTTTTTTCCCGACCCCACACACACACACACACACACGTGACAGCTGACTTACTCCCAGGTACCCATTTACTGCTAGGTAACAGGGGCATTCAGGGTGAAAGAAACTTTGCCCATTTGTTTCTGCCTGGTGCGGGAATCGAACCCGCGCCACAAAATTACGAGTCCTGCGCGCTATCCCAAACTACCAGGCCCCCCTAGTAGTCTGCTACACACATTATCTACACATATTGCTACACAGTCTGTGACACTGCTAGTCTCCTACACACACACACTGCAGGTGTGTGTGTGTGTGTATTCACCTAGTTGTGTTTGCGGGGGTTGAGCTTTGCTCTTTCGGCCCGCCTCCCAACTGCCAATCAACTGTTTACTAACTACTTTTTTTTCTCCACCCCCCCTAGGAAGCAGCCCGTGACAGGTGACTAACTCCAAGGTACCTATTTGCTGCTAGGTAACAGGGGCATTCAGGGTGAAAGAAACTTTGCCCATTTGTTTCTCCCTGGTGCAGGACTCGAACCCACGCCACAGAATTACGAGTCCTGCGCGCTCTCCACCAGACTACCAGGCCCCCCAAATTGTGTGTGTGTGTGTGTGTGTGTGTATGTAATTACCTAAGTGTAGTTACAGGATGAGAGCTACGCTCGTGGTGTCCCATCTTCCCAGCACTCTTTGTCATATAACGCTTTAAAACTACTGACGGTCTTGGCCTAGACCACCTTCTCACCTAACTTGTTCCAACCGTCTACCACTCTGTTTGCGAAAGTGAATTTTCTTATATTTCTTCGGCATCTGTGTTTAGCTAGTTTAAATCTATGACCTCTTGTTCTTAAAGTTCCAGGTCTCAGGAAATCTTCCCTATCGATTTTATCAATTCCTGTTACTGTTTTGTATGTAGTGATCATATCACCTCTTTTTCTTCTGTCTTCCAGTTTTGGCATATTTAATGCCTCTAACCTCTCCTCGTAGCTGTTGCCCTTCAGTTCTGGGAGCCACTTAGTAGCGTGTCTGTGCACCTTTTCCAGTTTGTTGATGTGCTTCTTAAGATATGGGCACCACACAACCGCTGCATATTCTAGCTTTGGCCTAACAGAAGTCGTGAACAATTTCTTTAGTATATCGCCATCCATGTATTTAAAAGCAATTCTGAAGTTAGAAAGCGTGGCATAGGCTCCTCGCACAATGTTCTTTATGTGGTCCTCAGGTGATAGTTTTCTATCTAGAACCACTCCTAGATCTCTTTCTTTATCAGAATTCTTTAAAGATTTCTCACATAATATATAGGTTGTGTGGGGTCTATGTTCTCCTATTCCACATTCCATAACATGGCATTTATTAACATTAAATTCCATTTGCCAATTGGTGCTCCATATACTTATTTTGTCCAGGTTATCTTGAAGGACATGACAATCATCTAAGTTTCTTATCCTTCCTATTATCTTAGCATCATCAGCAAACATGTTCATATAATTCTGTATACCAACTGGTAGATCATTTATGTAGACAATAAACATCACTGGTGCAAGAACTGAACCCTGTGGTACTCCACGGGGTGTCCCCTGGTGTGTGTGTGTGTGTGTGTACTCACCTAGTTGTACTCACCTAGTTGTGCTTGCGGGGGTTGAGCTCTGGCTCTTTGGTCCCGCCTCTCAACCGTCAATCAACAGGTGTACAGGTTCCTGATCTACACTTGAAACTGTGTATGGAGTCAGCCTCCACCACATCACTGCCTAATGCATTCCATTTGTCAACTACTCTGACACTAAAGAAGTTCTTTCTAATATCTCTGTGGCTCATTTAGGCACTCAGTTTCCACCTGTGTCCCCTGGTACGTGTGCCCCTTGTGTTAAATAGCCTGTCTTTATCTACCCTATTAATTTCCTTGAGAATCTTGAATGTGGTGATCATGTCCCCCCCTAACTCTTTTGTCTTCCAGCGAAGTGAGGTTTAATTCCCGTAGTCTCTCCTCGTAGCTCATACCTCTCAGCTCGGGTTCTAGTCTGGTGGCAAACCTTAGAACCTTTTCCAGTTTAGTATTATCCTTGACTAGATATGGACTCTATGCTGGGGCTGCATACTCCAGAATTGGCCTGACATATGTGGTATTTAAAGTTCTGAATGATTCCTTACACAAGTTTCTGAATGCCATTCTTATGTTGGCCAACCTGGTATATGCCGCTGATGTTATTCTCTTGATATGGGCTGCAGGGGACAGGTCTGGCGTGATGTCAACCCCCAAGGCTTTTTCTCTCTCTGACTCTTGAAGAATTTCATCTCCCAGATGAAACCTAGTATCTGGCTTCCTGCTTCCTATACCTATCTTCATTACATTGCATTTCCTTGGGTTAAACTCTAACAACCATTTGTTCGACTATTCCTTCAGCTTATCTAGGTCTTCTTGAAGCCTCAAACAGTCCTCCTCTGTCTTAATCGTTCTCATAATTTTGGCATCGTCAGCAAACATTGAGAGAAATGAATCTATACCCTCCGGGAGATCATTTACATTTATCAGAAACAATATATTACCGAGTACAGAGCCCTGTGGGACTCCACTGGTGACTTCACGCCAATCGGAGGTCTCACCCCTCACCGTAACTCTCTGCTTCCTATCGCTTAGGTATTCCCTTATCCACTGGAGCACCTTACCAGCTACACCTGCCTGTCTCTCCAGCTTATGAAACCAGCCTCTTATGCGGTACTGTGTCAAAGGTTTTCCGACAATCCAAGAAAATGCAATCAGCCCAATCTTCTCTTTCTTGTTTAATCTTTGTCACCTGGTCGTAGAATTCTATTAAGCCTGTAAGGCAAGATTTACCCTCCCTGAACCCATGTTGGCGATTTGTCACGAAGTCCCTTCTCTCCAGATGTGTTACCAGTTTTTTTCTCACGATCTTCTCCATCACCTTGCATGGTATACAACTCAAGGACACTGGCCTGTAGTTCATTGCCTCTTGCCTGTCACCCTTTTTGTATATTGGGACCACATTCGCCGTCTTCCATATTTCTGGTAGGTCTGCCGTCTCCAGTGACCTACTATACACTATGGAGAGTGGCAAGCAAAGTGCCTCTGCACAATATTTCAGTACCCATGGCGAGATCCCGTCTGGACCAACAGCCTTTCTAACATCCAGATCCAGCAGGTGTCTCTTGACCTCCTCTCTCGTAATTTCGAATCCTTCCAAGGCCGCCTGGTTTACTTCCCTTTCTTCTAGCACAGTGACCTCCCTTTGTTCTAGTGTCAAGACCTCCTGGAACCTCTTGTTGAGTTCTTCACACACCTCTTTGTCATTCTCTGTATATCTGTCCTCGCCTGTTCTAAGTTTCATTACCTGTTCATTCATTCACTGTTGTTTTCCTCCTAATGTGACTGTGAAGTAACTTTGGTTCGGTGTGTGTGTGTGTGTGTGTGTGTGTGTGTGTGTGTGTGTGTGTGTGTGTGTGTGTGTGTGTGTGTGTGTGTGTGTGTGTGTGTGTGTGTGTGTGTGTGTGTGTGTGTACATTGGCTGCCTGTACCCCAACACATTGCATTAAAATAAAATTAATACATTTGGTTTCGTTCACTCACGTTAATTTATAATTTAAATTTGACATTTTAGTGATACATTCTTGCTCAAGCAATTATTGAAATATATCAATGAATTTCTTGAAGGACTGAGTATACTTACAATTTGTAGAGGGACTGAGTATACTTACAATTTGTTGAGGGACTGAGTATACTTACAATTTGTTGAGGGACTGAGTATACTTACAATTTGTAGAGG